ATGGTAAAAAGCAATCACGCTAGTAATATACAAACAAAAAACAAGCCAAAAGACCAACCAACCTCCTACAGACCTATTAGCCTTCTACCGGCAATCAATAAAGTCGTTGAGAAGATATTGCTCAGCAGACTCAAAACTGCCACCGAAGACAACAACGTAATCCCAAACCACCAGTTTGGATTCCGAAGTGAACATTCCACCGAACAACAATCATCCGGTTGACCGAACATGTAATAGATAGAGTGAACGTCAGCAAACACACTGGAGCGGTCTTTCTGGACATAGAGAAAGCTTTTGATAAAGTTTGGCACGCAGGCCTATCTATAAAATGAAGAAAGCGAACATACCACCAAGACTAACTCAAATCATAAGGTCATACCATCAATATCTTTAGAAAATTCCACGTCAAAATAGGGAATACAATTTCGGAAGGAACAGAAGTAAAGGCCGGAGTCCCACAAAGCTCCGTCCTGGGCCCAACGCTATTCAACATCTACATTTCGACATTCCAACGCCGACCAACACTACAGTCGCCCAGTTTGTAGACGACACCGTAATATACACCACGGACAGGATGAAATCATTCATTAAAAACCGACTACAAGAAGCCACTGATTCCATCATAAAATACATGAATACATAGAGGATCAGAGTAAACGAAGAAAAACAAAAGCAGTCATGTTCATACATAAGGTCACCAGAAAACACAACCACGAAAAAATCAAAATAAACGGAAAAGAAACAGAGTGGAAAAGGCATGCTAAATATCTAGGCATAATACTAGACGAAAAACTCAACCTACTTAAACACATGGAAGAAACAAAAAAAAGGTCAGAGGATTAGCAGCACAACTCTACCCAATCATCAGCAGATGCAGTAAACTTAACATAGAGAACAGAATAAATATTTTCAAGGCAATCATCCTACCAGCAGCCACCTACGGGGGAGCGATATGGAACATAGCCAGCAACAGTGGATTAAACCAACTGCAACAAACGCTTAACAAGATTCTAAGAATGGCAATGAATGCAGAGAGATACATCAGCAATACTCAACTAAAAAACGAAGCCAACATTAAAGACATGGTAACCGTCATAGAGGAGACTACCGATAAACAAATCAAAGAAATGAAACACCACTATAACCCAGAGATACAAAAAGCAACTCTAACAAAACCCAGAAAACAGACAAAAGAGACACAGTAATGACGAAACGCAAGAGGGAATCCGAAAACATCGGCTTAAAGCCCAAACGACAAAAGACAAAAAAATGAATCAAAGAAAAAAAAGATACAAAACCCCACATCAGATGAATCACTGATTCAAAAAAATTAAAACAAAAAAAAAGGAAAACAGAGACGAACGGGCAAAAGAGTCAAAACTTGACCCCGAATCAAAGAATAAATTCCAGTCCAGTCAGTCATCTTCCGGCAGATCGGGGTAACGAAGACAGAACACGTAGAAACGAAATTATTGATTATTTTGCAAAATTACAATAAAATAATTTGTTTTAAGAAAATTATTATTTATTTTTTTTTAACACTAAGATTATTATGTAATAAACTATCTTCATAGTAATCCTGCCTCTTTTTTTTTAAGAGTATTTCTAAGACCAACAGTTCCATTTTTTTGGAGTGCTCTTCTTTTGCTTATTTAATTAACAACTAATAAGTAGTACAGATTGTAAGTCAAGAATATACAAAACAAGTGACGACATATGGCGCGGAAACAAGAGCTGAAACATCAGTAACAAAGAAGATCCAGAAAACAGCCGGGATGAAGACTCTAAGAGCAATAACGTGATACACATATACTGACAGGTGAAAAAATACAGCCATAAGAGAAAAGTGCAACATAGATGGTTAGATGGATAAGTAGAAGAAGAAGAGAATGGAAGCAGCACGTTAAACGGATGGGTCCTGACACTCCTGACAAAATAGCCAAAATTGTGCAAAACAATACACCACACGGAAGAACACCTATAGGTCGACCACCTAAACGATGGTGAGATAGGAGTCACCATAACACAAGGTACCAAGCTAAGGAATAAAGAAATTATACTTTTTGAAGTAATATAGGACCTTTAAGGTTAAGTTATGCTGAATTATAAGCTACGAGCACGGCCACTTTATTTTATATAATATCTTAAATATTAAAATGGACGATTTGAGATTTGTTGAAAATGGGATTAAAAATAACAAAATGGGATTAAAGAAAAGAAGTAAGTTATATTATCCCAATTTTAAATCTCCGTGCGATCGATTCATTTTATATACATTTTTAAAAATCATGATTGTATTTGAACAAGAACCTTTTCCTCGACATTAATTTCAGATTGTTAACATCGAGGTAGATTATAACTGCGTTCTAATATTTAATTAGTTTCTTAATGTTTAATAATAACCTCACATATTTGGCTACTTCATCTACTAGCTGACCTAATTTAAATATATGATTTATTATTATTTCGAGTCATTAAACTTTTTATTTTTTAGACTTTTTATAAAACTTATGGCAAATCGAGTCACATTCCAATATGACAGATGAAAATTAAAATGTCGAAATGAAGCGAACTTTTCAATTGAACCTTATAGATACTGGAAGTATTGAATTTGATCGATGGTGACTGGTGATTTCCGTAAATAATAAAGTTCAATTTAAATTTTACGATTTGAATAGATAAACGAATATTTAAATATATTTCCACAGTAAATGGATTTTTCGATTGACTTTTTTATGACTGTGTTGTTATGCTGCGTTTTACCACCTTTCTTACGTTTACCTTATTTTATTTCTATGTGATCCAGAATATAGCTGAAAATATATTAATAGCCTTAATCTTAATTTTGTTAACTTATGATAATTATAGAAAAGCATCAAATAGTTCAAATTGTTTTTAATAAGACATGGCATTAAAATTAGACTGCAATTCTTGAGGAAGTCGTTAAGATCTGGAATATCGTTCTATGTAACCCATCAGGTTATATTTTAGGTATATACAATTCTAATCACAGCAAATGCTGTATGCCGTAATATCATCCTAATCCATAAAATTTTAAGCTAAAATTAATATACGACATTGGTGATTAAAGCGCGTGGTTGAGTTAGAATTAGATGTTTATGTTCGTATTATGTTTGCCTCAATTATTGCCGTACTTAGTTCACTTGAAAAGTTTGCGAGAGCTCCGGTTATTAATCCAGTTATCTGACCGATAGATTTTGGTTCGTCCAAATTAACAATATTGTCTGTTTGTTGATGGATTAAGAGAAGCGTCCGCATCGTTGTATCTTAAGTCCACCATTACTTTAGCTTTACACGTTCCAACTACCATGTCAGTGGAGACAGTAAGTAAATAAAATAAGAAAATTAAATTTATTTAAGGTTGTACATTTTGAATACTTAATTAAGTATTCAAAATGCGTTCCGTTGCGAATTTGACACTATCTTAATCGATCGGTGGTATGTCTCTATTACATTTCGCCATAATTCTCCGGAAATTAATCGTGATTCATCATCTACAAGGCTTCTAGATTTAGTTTTATATACTCGCCAATAATAATAGTCTTTAGGATTGAGTTTCGGTGAACGAAGAGGCCATTCAATGCTACCTGGTTTACCATTTCCTTATCCAGGAAACACCTCATCTAAATAACGTCGAACATTTACGTCAAACTCTTGGTGGAACCATACAACAGATTTCTCAGTGCAGGTATAATTTCATACTTCTAAGTGGCATTTCATATTTATCAGTAGTTAAATTTTCTTCTATAAAGAAAAGCATTTCAATTCTATATTATTATATTATGCCGATTTACATTACTACACAATGTAAAGCTTGGAGTAATAAATCAGGTGTTAATAACTGAACTTCATCGCCGACTTCGTCAGTATCAATCTCTTTATTATCATAAACTGTCATTAATTCGATTAAATCATCCTGATCTAAAGAGCTTTCTCGCAACTTTTTATGGATATCAGCCTTTTGTATGTTGTTAAAACCTTTGCCACCACTTACATTTGGTGAAGTTATAATTTCTGAACACTGAGCTGACTTTTGTACAACGAAAATTCCACTTTTAACACATGCTGACAAATTTTGTTTGCAACATGTGTTTATTCACACAAAATTTGATGTCAAAGCTTGTTTTTTGATAAAATGAAGTTGTTATTGCATAAATGTAATATTGTATTTGTATCGATTCCCTATTGGGAAGGTAAATTTGGTCTAAATAATAGTATTTACAAGTTTAATTGCAAAATGTTTGACTTTATGAATAGATTACCTGGTACCAATCATTTTGTTGAAACAAATGCGATAGTCAGCAAGTATGATAAAACAAAACATGGTTTACACCTTAATAAGATGAGGTAAAAAATAAAGTTTTTAATTTCATAACTAATTTAATCGACCGTGTATGTTTAATTCGAATCTTATGATGGAAATTTTCACAACGATGTGGTACCAGTATTGATATCATAAATAAATGTAGCGAGAGGGGGGAAGCTTGACGGCTGCTGCAAGTTATTGCACTACAACATTGAAGCTTTAAAGAGTAAAATTGTTAAACTGGAAATATACTTGAAGGAAACCTCTGTTGATGTTCTGTGCATGGCTGACGAATCTTGTAATTGGTAATGTTAACCTAAATGGATATGTGAATGCATCAAGATTTTGTCGTTCTGGGCGTTTACGTGACGGTGTTGCTATCTATGTCCGTTCTGGGCTTCCTTCTCCCACACCTCTTTCGTTTGATACGTTAAAACTATCAACTGAATTAGACTTTGAAATTGCTGGTATAAATTATAATGATGTTCAGATAATGTCTATATACCATTCCCCAAATGTAAGTTTTGACTCATTCCTTTACAATCTAGACATTCTGTTAAAATCGCTATCGCCTAAAAAGAGTATTATCCTGGAAAGTGATTTTAATGTACATTTCAACTTATACGGTAGGATTAGTGGGTGCGGCGATCAGACACAAAAAGTAACTAACTTATTACTTGCAATATTTCGAAACTTTATTGTTTCTTCTACAGGCAATTACTAGAAAAAACCACCGAAGTTACTAACATGAAAAAACAACTTTTAAATTTACTTACATCATAGTTAAATTAAATCGGGGTAGTTGAAGTCCATCAAAACAATTCTTGACTACTCATTAAGACCAAAAAAGCCACAATCATTTGACCATTACAAAATGGATGAAAGTTAAGAACTTAAAACGTGTATGAAACGATAAATGCGTCGAGAAACAATTTTTTTGAACCGGTTAAACAACTTTGCGTCTGCGCATCATCCACCAATCCCAACCGTCTAACGCGCATGAACAAAAATAAACAAAAACCGCCAATTTTTAAATTTGAACTTAACAAAACAAAAACAAAAAAAAATTTAATTAAAACAAACAAATTAAAATTGAAAGTCAAATTATAAATTAAAATGTTAGTGAATCGTTATCTGTAGGATTTACATTAATCTCCTTTCTGGTTTTATCCCAGTGAAATAAAAAAGAGTAAATGTTACTTAAATTGCTGGTATCCGTCTTAAAATTAACCGTATTTTCACTCAAATTGATCTGATACATTTCCAAAAATAATCTACTATAGTAATTTGCATCACTGTCAAGAATGACAGGGTTTTCAAAGTCAAAATTATGATTACAAGTAGCCATATGATTAGCTAAGGCACATTGAGTTTTTTTAGTGTTAAAATCGCTTTTATGCGAGCTAATACGTCTCTTCAACCATTGACCAGTAACACCAATATAACAACCGGTACAATCCTTACAATCACTCTGATAGATAACGTTCGATTTGTAAAGCAAAGGGTCGGAATCCTTCACTTTAGAAAAAAAGTTCTTAATTTTTAACAGGTAATATTCAACAAGTCTTCTATCTTCAGGTAAGTATACTTTTAAGATATTAATTAATTTTTTAGAAAGACCATCAATTTTCATAATTTTACTATACTTTGTAGGTTGTACCGAGACAGCATCAAAAATACTAGGAGCCACACCAACATCACTCAGGGTGGAACTGGAAAACAGAACCTTATTGATAATCCTCAAAGGAAAATCATTATTGATAAAAATTTTCTTAAGTTTAGCAAGAGCTTCAGTTTGAAATTTAGTATTGCAAATTTTCAGAATTCTGTTTTTCATTCCCACCAGAGTATTGATTTTATGATTAAACGAATGACTTGAATAAAAGTTAATAAAGTTATGTAGGCTTGGTGTACCAGTCAATGACTATAGAGGTGTTCTCACAAATAACCTTACAATCAAGGAACGGAACAAAATTATCCTTTTCCGTCTCAACAGTGAATTGAATGTTACTATTAAACGAATTAAAGACTGTCAAAATGTGATCAGCACCATCCCTGGGAACACTAGTGATAATATCATCAACAAATTTTTTAATGAACGGTAATTCAAACTCTAACTGAGGAATAACACCATCAAGAACAAAGTCCATAACTATAAGAGCTAAAATGGGACTTATAGGTGAACCCATGTGTGTACCAAACTTCTGCAAATAAACTTGATCATTAAATGAAAAGTAGGTGTTCTCAAAAACAAACTTTAAAAGTTTACAAAAGGTTTCAGAGGAAAACTTACAGTTATCCTTAATCACATCCCATTTATCTTTAACAATGTTGAGAATTAAATCTAAGGGTATATTGGTGAACAAGCTTACCACATCAAGAGAAATAATGACATAGTCTGATGGAAGTTGAAAGCCTTTTATGTAGTTAACAAATTCAAAGGTATCCTTAACATTGTATTGAGTTACAGTGCTCAAGGAGAGAGCAAGAATGCTGGATAAGTATTTGGATAAGTTGTACGTGGCCGAACCACAGGCCGAAATGATGGGTCTAAGAGGTACATTAGGTTTATGTATTTTCGGTAAAAAATAAGCTTTACACAAAGTTGAATTTTGTGTTGTAAGAAACCTCAATTCATTATCATCAATAATCTTTTCATTGTGAAGGTGTTTAATTAATTTATTAAGATTCCTTTGAACAGTGTCAACAGGAAATTTATTAATTCTGGTGTAAGTAGATACATCATTCAGCATGTCAACAGCTTTATTGATATAATCATCTTTATTCAAAATGACTGTAGTTGCACCTTTATCAGCGTTGATGATAACTAAGTTTTTATTAGATTTATGGAAGGATTTGGTAGCAGTAATTAAGTGTTTAATCTGTTTATCCAGCCACGTACCATTCACATCATTATTAACAAAGTTNCGTTTTATGTCTATCTTTGTTACACTTTCACATTATCGCTTTCCATCTGCGTCTATTCACCTTGAGCCACATTTTTGTTAGCAGATATATTCAGTTAGCTCAATCCATATTATATATAATCAAAGGCTAAACCTTAACAAACTCATTCTACCAGACAACTATTTAATGGTATCTTTCTATATTGTAAATTTATATACGAATGTCCCCACAAGAGAAACAATCGAGATAATTCAACAAATTTCAAATGAAAGAACAAATAATTCTGAAGACATATTGGTGCAAACATATTGAAAATGTTTCAGATCTGCATCGAACAACATTTCTGCTCATTTGAAGGAAAAATTTATACATTCCCAGATGGTCTGCCAATGGGATCTCCACTGAGCGGATTAATGGCAGACATATTTCTCAACAAATTGGAAAACGAGCAGATAATCAACCCCAAAAACCCATATAACAAAAACATAAAACTATGGAAGAGATATGTCGATGATGTATTTGCTAAAACATTTTCACATATATCAACGGACTCCACAACATCAAATTTACGATGGAGACCGAACAAATGAACAAACTAAACAAACTAAACTTCCTAGACCTTACCATAGAAAAGAAAAACAAACACTTAGCATATGATATATACCGAAAGAAGACTCAGACAGATATAATAATCCCATACAGGTCACATCATGAACATTCCCATAAATTGTCAGCGTTCCATTCTCTAATAGACAGAGCCCTCGTCTCCAACATGAGTCAAGAAAAAAATATAATAATAATGGAACTGGATATAATTAAACAAATAGCTCACAATAACGAATACCCACAAGAAATAATAGAAAAATTCATCAACGCGAAGCTCCAGAAATTCAACCTCTCCAAGAAGACCAGGTTAACACCAAGAGAAAAACCAGAAAATAAAAACTATCGAACCATACAATATCAAGGCGAGATAAATGGGAAAATAAGAAAAATGTTTAACAAATACAACTTGTAATTAACTAGCAAAAACAATAACACATTGAGTAGACACCTAATAAACAACAAAGACAAGATTAACAAACTGGACGACAATGGAATATACAAATTAAAATGTAGATCTTGTAGAGCAACATATATAGGACAAACGGGAAGAAGACTGGGACAAAGAATTTATGAACACAAGACTAAACAAAATTCTAATTTTGGAAAACATCTAACATTTAATACAGAACACGAATTTAATGATAACGAAGATGTTACCTTAATACACAAGACCAATAAAGGACATCTAATGGAAATTCTAGAAAATTATGAAATAAATAAATTTAAGAACAACTTTCCTATGTACAACTGCTTAAACGAACAAACAGGAACAACAAGAAAACCTCTACATCTGTATTTGAAGACACCTTTCACACCACCAAAAAGGAAGGACAAACCACCAGAAAAACGAGGGTGGCCAAATAAATAATATTTGGTTTCCGCAACTTCTGAGTGTGTATATATTTAGATCCTTACTACAGTTACATTCCCTAAACGCATTTTCTAAACGAGAAGTGTAGAATAACACGCTCGAATTTCATTTCTCAAAGTTTTTCACCAGCATAACCTCTTAAATATCAACAAATATACAACGTGATTTCACCACCACCGACCATCATACATCATTCGATAATACTGCATAATTCTATCATAGGTGATAATATCTTATTATTTAGTGTTTAATAGTGTTTAATAATAAGTTTTCAAATATTCGATAATTTGACAAAACCTTCTGAAGATGCCTTAAAAAAAGGCGAAACCGGTCAAGGCACAATTAGTATTAAATAAAGTCCATTGTTTAAGTGCACATTAGTATATCTTTACTCCAAATTACAACACAATGGTCAGCAAAGAAAATCAAACCATTAAACACTAAGGACTCAATATTGCACGTAATGAAAATTGTATTGACAATATGTTCACTAATTTAAACGAGAGCGTCCATTTTAGCCTTGTTGTTGATCCGTGCCTTTCCGATCACTTGGCTATCTCCTTTGAGTACGAATCGCACTTTAGATCATTTAGAGGGCTCAAAACAAGATTCCGTCCTATCACACAAATAGGTCTAATGCATTTCCATAGTGTTGTAGATGACGCAAATTTTGAATTCATCTCTGATAGTACAACCGATATGAACACTGCTTCATTCATGCAAACATTGAGTAATGCTTTTTATGTTAGTTTTTTCGGAAAAAACGCGCTATACTACTGACAATAGCTCTGAGGTTAAAGTTAAATGGTTTAATAACGATATTCGTGAAATGCGGGAAACTTTATATTTTCTCTCTGAGCTACATAACTGCAATTGTGAATTGATTTCGAAGCAATTTCTGCAACAGTATAAAAAACGATATAAAGCTTTCATAGTTGAAAATAAACGTAATGCCAACAATAACTATATCCTAAACTCAAAAAATAAGCATGGAATGTAATAAGAAATAACAAGATTGTTACTCACTTAATAGCAAATTAATAAAAACAATACGACATATTATCTGTATACCATTATGTAAACTCATAAATAAATGTTTAATACCTCTAATATTTTTCCAGATTGCTTAAAATTTTTTAAGATTGTTTCTGTGTTTAAAAAGGATTCGCACGATGACGTTTCGAATTATAAACCTATATCTATATATATTTTAATTTAAAAAATGCATTTTAATTAAAACAAAATATATAATCAAAGAAATATAAATAAATTTAAAAAGACTGGAATGATCATAATCCATACTTCAGCAAAAATTTAAGAATTATACTGGTGAAAAACCAAACTTAAGGGAATAGTCGGGAATACTGTGGTCAGAAGGTTAATTTGCAAGAAAAAGTCTGAAATTGCAATAGTTATAAACTAGA